ACCAGTCAAAGGTGAATCAGATGCTTGCGGAAGAAGTTGGATGACGGACTCGCCATATCGATAATTTAAGGAGTAGGACACTGTGGACCATTGGACCCAAACCCACTGGCTACTTTCGTCATAACCCCCGAAGGTCCTGAGTTCGATCCCTTGCAGTCTCATATATCAGCACTAATGAGGAGTCACATAGTAGGACGAAACAGCTGAACAATCCCCTCAGGTATTCAGTGGTTCTCCAACTGATGTCAGCCCGTGATGAGAACTACCTTAAAAACAATATTCCCAATGACCTGAAAACATATTATTATTGATATTATTATTTTATAAAATAATTTACTCATAACTGAGATCATGATGGAAGAATTAAGAATAAACTAATCAACCATTTGCCCAGAAATGTCACAAGTAGAATTCATGTGCACATTTTTCCCACACAAAAGATTCACACCTGAATGAATGAAAAATAACGAAGGCGTTCAATGAGCACTTTACTGTCTTATGAAAGACATACACAAAGTATCCGGTTTATCAAAGTGAATGATCAGTTTGCAAATATGTTCCAACATACCCAGTTAACGTTAGCTTTCCACATAATCAAATAACATGTTAACGGTCTAGGTGTAAGGTTAAGAGGGTTTCCATTGAAAACCATTCAGCCAAAATAAAAAAGTATTACCCCTGACATATAAACTTCATGAACTAATGACACATACTACTTGACAAAATAAGTAGTTAGAAATAGCTCAGACTGATTTCTTTTACGAGATCAAAGCGATCAAGTTTCTGAAAAAGCATTTTTGGCTGAAGCCACCAAGGTTAAGCTGAAACTGATGAGCTGACTTATATGCACAAGTATACATTAAGGTGGAGAATCCCATTGTAATTCATTCAGATATTGGATAGCCGTTCATTATGTTGCATTTAATATTGAGTAGTGACTTGTTTCTGAAATACCTCCAATGCCATTAGAATACATGGTGGATACAGTATGTTTATAGGGAACAAGGAATTGCATGGATCCGTTGAGGAAGTCGATGGTGAGCATAACGAGAAAGGAAACTGTTCCGTTTCTAAAGAATCAAAAGTCACAACAACATTCAACTAACAATAGAACAATGATAAACGCGAATAGATACTTATTGTATTCTCGTACAAATCGGAAAAGTAAACAGAATTTTTCCTGTTAATCAGTCATTTTTTTCAAAAATTATCTTCTAGTTGTTCTAACTTCAGAAGACGACTTTCATAAACCTTTAAGTAGTTGCATAATTCCCAGTCATAGTAGTATAGCATAGTATAATTTCTCGGTACTCCTTTCGACTTCGGATACTGCCCTTCCATTGACAAAGATGACAAAAATCTACTGGATTTTGCTAAGCTCTAGATGCAGATTACTCACTTTCTGCACTGCTGTTTCTATGGCAGACTGAATACTGTACTACATTATTGTAAGAGTTGCTGCCGTGCTCAAATAGGTGCCTAGCTGTTGCCATTCTGAATACATATTTGATATTCTTACCTAGCACTGATTACGAAGAAGCTTAACTGATGTTCGTTTCCCGTATCTATTGGATTGAAAAAACACTTCCGCCTGTATTGACAAGTGACTGCATTCCAAGAGGGTACCGAAAAGGCAGCAAACGTCCACAGATGCTTTCCATAGATGGCTCATAGTGATGTGATCTTTCCGTGTCCAACTTTAGCTTGACATCATGCATCTTCTTAGCTTTTTCGTAAACAAGTGCACTATTAGCTTCTCATTATTCACGGGTAGGATGAATGTTAATTTCGGATAATGATGCATACATTACCTATATACTCACACAAGCGCAAGGTAATTTTTTTCCTAATAATTTTATTATAAGCTACCAGTGGTTAAACAGTCAGTTAAAACCAAGAAGTAATAGTGATTGATTTTGTTATAGTTTAGGACCTTTCAACCATGCTTCTTTAAAAGTTGACATCAGAGCCAGTAATGTGTACATCGCCATTCCAGAAGTATGCAACCGTTTAGGTCTCTCACTACAGATAAACAGTGATCACTCATGAGAACTGTGTAGTGAAGGAGTTCTGATGTGTATGTAAGATAAACTCAGATTCTTTTGTAAACACGAAAATTTCGTTGACAACAGTGAGAAACATGTGTAAGAGTACTGTGAAACTCCATGTTAATTTGTTTGTAAGACATTTCGAGCAGAAACCCTCCTCTGAATAGTGCCTCAATGGTTTATCCTACAAATTTGCCCTTATCTGCTTACCATTGATTCAATTCCTGCAATTTTTATGATCACTACTGAAAATCTGGGAGCACTGCGCGGCTGTTTCGTCTTGGTACGGGAATCCTTTGCACTACGCACCTATGACACTACTAAGGGCCGAACTCAAAACCTTCAGGTTTCACAAAGAATGCGTTAGCCAACCAGCCACTGGGCCGAAGTCGTGGTTCACATTTCCTACTTCTATCAGTTCGCGATATAGCGCGACCTCAGTCCACTGCCATCGCTGAGTAACTCCCTTCATGTACGACCCTGGTGGAGTCATGGGTACGCACTACTTGGGGGTCCAATACTAGAACGAAAAAGACGTGCCATGCTCCCAGGCTTTCAATCGTTCACCAACTGATTTAATCCGTGATAAATTCTAACTTGAGATCAATAACTGCATGTATTTTTCAGTGAACAGACGATAGCAGTATCTTCCTAAGCAGTTGGCCACTAATGCAGATTTCAGCATTTGATGGTACTTTTTTCAGGTGTTACGAATGACGACTTACTTTTAAAAATATCATCGGTGCGTGAAACACTAATCCAGTATTGTTAACATAAGGGTGAAGTCGTTTGCATACTAAACTATGACTACATGAACTATGAACTAAGCATTCTCATGACCTCGACTCGATGACTCATCAGAAGGTGATAAGTTGAATATATCATTGCTCTACTCTGTAATTTACGTGTAGTTGAAAAGATTAACAGCAAGCTTGCCGATTACGTAATCAAGCGTACTCAGCAAAATGCAGTTGCATCACAAATGTCTGGGTTATTTGATTTTTCGCTTCAAGTATGAAATATGACCCAAATATTCTTGTTCATATGAGCCAGTCAGCTTTATCAGATTGATTATTTGATGATCCAACATTCAGTGTGGTTGATATCATGATATGCAAACAACAATAATATAGCTCTTTTGACTTCTTGTGGAACAGACAGATTATTCGGTCGATTAAGTACTAAATAATTTCTTCAGATTAAGTAACTGTGATGTTCATCAACCCAGTGATATTAAGATAAGCTGTATTCACATATTCCCTTAGAAATAATCAATATCCCACAAGCAGACATAAGAAGTAACGATAGTAACAACTTTTTTAATGTAAGCCAGTGTATGCTACTGATTAGCCCTCGTCGACTACGATCTTCTCATTATACACAAAGAAAATGGGAACAGCCAATAAGAAAAGTTGGCAAAATTAAGTGCACTGGGAAGAAATTTATTTTCTAGTTAATATTTAGAAGCTTTACGTTAGTATTTCGAAGAAAATGTAGTACTAGTATAATTGCTTGTATTATACCGTGGTTGTTTGAATCGAACTGATCTGTCTATATTGGCATATGGGCTCCTGTACAGATGCCTCGATATTGCCTGTTTTAATTATATATAGCAATGATGGGTAGCCACTATCCAGTTTTTCAGTTGGAATTCAAAAAAATAATGATTAATAATATCTTTAGTAAATCAACATTGAATAAACTATAAAATTAAGTTTCTCTTGAAGAGAGTCAATATCCCTAAACATTTACTCGAGATCACTTTTTATATTCTCCATGGTTGATTCAGATACCTAACAATTTGCAAAACTAGAACGAGACATATAAACGAACAATATTGTTTTCAATTAGATCCTCTTCAGGCTCTGTTTATCCACTGACCTCGCCCTTCACTACTACGTAACTTTTATTTTCACAAGCTTTTGACCCATTTTGATTATTGGGGTGTCTACATTTTCATGCTGCTATCTTGGTTCTTATCATCATTATCATATGTATTGCATGTGCTTTAGTCAACGTTATCACTTCTATCAATTTCATTATTATTATTTGTATTATTATCTCCATCGTTATATGAAACATTTATCACATCAACCGACAAATCTACATGATTGGTTTAATTTTATATATATTAAGCTATTCGTATTAGAGTAAAGCCTGAAGAGCATCTAACTGAAAACACTATTGTCCTCTTATGTCTTGTTCTAATTTACATGATGGGAATTTGCAAAACACCAAAGGTGAAAAATGAGATGTTTATTACTTTTACAGCAAAGTATTGCTTTAAACTTGTATGTAGTCAAGATGAAAGGTTTCAAGATCACTTGGTTAGCCTCATAAATGTTACATCCAGCAACAGTAGGTACTTAACAGTGAGATCCAAGGATGCACGGGATTTGAAACATACCAGTATGTTTTTTCATATCACCTTTTTCGCAAGGCAGATTAATAACTCTGAACTGGCTTCGTAGAGCCGAAAACTGGCAGGAGCACTGACAAGTCATCTACTTTTAGCCCTTCAGCAGAAAGTTATTACGATATCTGAATCAAAATTTTACCCACTCCGACAACAGACCATAGACTGGTTCATGAAGTCTGGTCTACAGTTATCCAGGAAGATGTAAGGATTTCTGTCTTACTCCAAGACTGTCCTCAGAACCCAAAAGGCTGGTTAACAAGTGAAACATGCTAATTTGATTCCAGAAACCATACTGCATGGTACTCACCAGAAATCAGTACCACACAGCCAAGTAATTCGACAAATGTTCGGAATTGTGAAACAAATTTGGTTGGTATCCACCTCTTATACAAAACTATTGCTGAATCCAAATCAGATTCAGTAGTGTCTGAACACGATACTTGACTTTCCAGTGTTTAATTCAATGAACTACATCTGGACTGTCAAGTAAACCCGGTCATCAACTAGTTTTATACCATAAAAGAAGACAATATAATTTAATCACAAACACTTTCTTTGTTTAGTTAGAAAAAAGAAGTAGGGATAAATCAAAATATAAAATAACTATCATGATCAATAATTATAAATCCAAAGCAAATAAGTTCAGTGTTATAATACAATCCAAGTATTCTTTTATAAATGTCTATACAAATATTGGTTTCTCAGTGAAAAAAATTGTAACGTATTAGTGAATAAGATTTCGCCGTATGGGGATTGAAGTGAATTTCACAAGGTGACTAGTGAATATGAAAGAATGACAGTGTAGTCAATGTAGTGACTGAAATCAAATCTGAGCTACGGAATAAATTTAGTAAGATTTCAGCTGTCATCATAACATCAGTAATAATGAGAATAATGATAATTGGAACATCTGATCACAGGTGAAACTAGACAGAATATATGGACTTTGTACAAAGAAATTTGTTCACATCTTTAGTTGGTACATTTGTGTGATGGACGTATCGAATGTCGAAGTTTTCTTGCCCATGTGAAACGAGATGCACTAGAGTTACTGCACTTACCACTACTAGTAGCATTAAAAGTTGAATTAGACGATAAACTACATGAATCTTGAGTCTCGTTAACTGAATATTTGACTCTTCTACTCTCCTCATTACTCCTGATTATTGGATTCATATCTTTCAATCTTTCTGTCGCCAAAGATGGGAGTAACGTTGGACCTGTAATACGCTTTGTTTTCTGATGCATTACCAAAGATGAGTTTGAATTAAGTGAACGGCGTTCTGAGTGTGTTGCAACTTTTGAAACTGCACGTCTTATCATGGATAAAGGTTTTAAGCTCAAGCGTCCTAATTGGCTACTGCTTGTACGTTTTGTTGTTGATTCGATTGCATGTAGATTAGTAGGAGTTTGAAAAGCAGAACTTTCTTCATTTTCCTGAAATCCATCATAATTACTTGAGTTTTGTAAAGAAAAACAGTTTAAATGCAATTTTGAGTGAAGTCGCTCATCACCGGCCAGACTAATTGATTGAGTTGTATCATTATAACCAACAGATGTTAGCAAAGACACCGGTTTCTGTTTGTCATGATCAAATAGGTCAGAAGACGCTACAGTACTTACACTTGAAGGGGTATTATTCATAATAAGATACTCCGAACGAGAACATTGGCAAGTTTGCAAGTCCATGTGGCCATTTTCCAATAAACAACTGCAGATGCATTTAGCAGATAGTGACATCCCAAAAGCCTGCGTACCAGTGACCTCTGTAAGAGAGACAGGGATTCTTCTCCCTCTTTCTTCAGACCTCCTTAATAAAACTTTGGCTTCTATAGTTTTTGCCAAATTATGTGCTACAGGTGTATTAGCATTTTCATCTGAGTCGGCTGGGTTTACTTCGTTAAAAAGACACATCCCCTGGTTTAGTTTGGTGCTAATGTCGCAATTTGGCTTTGAAGCAATCTCTTCATATGGAGATGAATTTGTTGTTTGAGAAGATAAACAGGAACAGCCTGATGATGACCAGTTAGACGAAGAAGTGTTTGATGAAGTTACCTTCTTAGGTACGCATTTAAGGCAGTTTGAATTTGATGTCCTCAAATTATCTCTGTATGTCACGGACGCAGACGAATTGTTTAAACCAATACCAGAAGACTGTGTGGTGGTACTTGTTGGTTGCATTTTGAGGCTCATTAGTTTTCCGTCAACTGAATAACTGAAATCAAGGAGAACATTAAATAGTCAGAAAAAAATAGAGTAATAACTTGGAAATAAAACTTAGACTGGACTACACCTATTTGAAGGCTCATAGTACTACCAGAAAATAAATCGGAGTTAGATTAATAGTCTGATCCAGTGGTCAGTAGCGAAGCAGCTAGATTCATCAGTTACGACTCTGTCAACCTGGTGCACGTATCAAACTGCGAGCTGCTTGACACTTGGCGAGAATGTCAGGCTTTTAGAATAACAGGATCAAAATCAAGTGATTTTAAACTATAATTCGCAAATACCTCCCTAAATTTTTGGCACTACTCACCTTTCAGGGACAGCACTATTCTTGACCTTTGTTTGGTTGAGAAAGTATTCATCAGAACCGGTTCTTTCTGTGTTGAAATGGGGCAGGGATCGTATACGTGCTATCTTATTCATCAGAACACGAGGCAGACTACATGTATCATCAACAGACAGAATAAATAGTTCTGACGATAGTGATTGTGAACGCTTGAGTGTTTTGACGGCATATTTTTTACGCCGATCTTGAACGGAAGAAATTACAGTTCGACTTTTAGATGGTGACATGATTTTTCTGTCTAGCGAAGTTGTTACCTGTAAAAACAGTGAAACAGATATTTCAATATATAAATGCAAAAATGAAAGTGAATTATTAAAAACGAATTCTATCATCTACCACATATGCATATTCTTAGTTAAAATGCATGTTATTGAGATAAAAACGATGTTAAATCGAATGTCGATGCACCCTAATAACTACCCACCACAATACTATCTTTCATCATGCGTGCTTGTGCCGATGTGATCAATGAGGATGTAAACACCTAATGTAAGCTACATCTTCTTGTTTTCGTGAAAATTTCTTCTAAATTGAACGATATACAGACTATTCACTTTATACTTTGTTAAGTGGTTTAAACATAAATCCAGCTAAATATGAACGGATTCATGCACTCTGACCATTCCCCACTCAAGTTGAGCATAAATGTAGATAACTTATGATTATTTTACAGATTATTGTGGTCGTTCAGCGCACTGCTGTCATTTGTTCACATTTCAGTCGTACGTTTACTCCAATGGATTTGATTGGTGTAAGTTTCTCCCATAAGAGGGAAATGATGTAAACAATTACCAAATGATTGTTATTTATTATTAACTTACCAGTGGGTTGATTGTAGTTGGTTGAGCCGAATGGTGATTATTGTCCTCTCTTGAAATCGTACTTATAGTACTCTCAGGTGCGAGGATTGAAAGTCTGCGTTCAGCCGGTACATCTTCTTTAATGGGTGTTACACTGAATGCCTCTGCAAGATCTGGAAGACAGCATTTATTTGATTCTAGTTTTGTTGGAGATTGTTTTGTCACTCTCCTACAGTTCGAAGGTTCAGAACATCCTTCATATTCTTGTTTTGCTGACGAATTACAATATTCTACGGGACTTCGGAATGCTTGAGAATTAGCCAAAGGTAAGATGGAACTGTGGCGTGGAGGAACATTTTGTAGCTTTCTTCCTACAACTGTAGATGATCTTAGCTCTGTAAAACAGTCCTGGTTGACTTTTGTGGATAGACTAGAGATTTTAGTAGCAATGTTTGGTGTGGCCGGTGACGAATAGCCTTTTAGTTTTGATGCATCTTGCTTTGATAGCCTAGGTGATGTACTACAAGTTACAGTCCAATTTGAAGTACTCATTTTTAGTGGATTCCATATTCTTCGACGCTTAAAAATCTGCTTTTGTGTTATTCTCCGGTTAACAGGGGTAACCATTTGATCTTCACTCTTCTCGTTATTTGATAGAAGTACAGTTTTGATATGATTCATCTGTTCAGTAATATCCTTTAACTGAAGAAAAATGAAGGTAAATAAGCTATTATAAAGTCTGAGTTAAGTTTATGACTAAAAAATCATGCTACATAAGTCAAAATATTTCGTACACAGCAACTGCTGCCTTAGATGCTTTAATCTCATAATTTACAACCGACCGCAAACACAGATGAGATATAGAGCATATATGTCAAGAACAGGAGTTAGCGTGGACCTTTTGATGAAGTCGATGGTGAGCATAACGAGAAAGGAAACTGTTCCGTTTCTAAAGAATCAAAAGTCACAACAACATTCAACTAACAATAGAACAATGATAAGCGCGAATAGTGTTGATCAGACAACATGAAAATTTCAGCAACCATGAGAAATGCATTTGTCTCAGTCCATCCAACACCAATTAGCTCAACTCAAAATGAACAACATCATCATCCAATGCTTAGATCACTCTGATACAACCAACGCAAACTCCGAATCAGCTTTAGTCATTTCCAAATACTCGTCTTGTTCAGTAGTATACACATTATGTCTCCCTGATTCAAATGACTATCATGGTGACTGGAAATCAAAACCGAACTAGCCATACTGCTCACTTGACTGACAGCATCCACCCGAAGCCTTTCAAACGGAGTTCAACTTCAATCAGATATGCTGCTGGTGTTCTAGCTGTATAGTGAGACAGTGAAGTGAATGGATGCTGTTTCATTTCATCGGAATTACTATCAATTGTGGCATAGAGTGACTTCTCATATCCAGCTAACATGATCTGTCACTAATGGTCGTTGTATGTATGAATATCACAGAAGCCTCGAGTGAAGTGTTTGTGAATTGCAGGGAGGAGGATTATTCTTGAGATAGTTTGCGAGAAAGTGGAAATATCGGCATGTGACCGAGAGCGAAGTAGACGTGTCTGCTGACTGTCAAGATAAGTGAGATCAGTTAGCTCCTCACTGAAATGTGATGAGAATATGGACTCTTTGAATTGTGTGCGATTAATGTGACGGAGGTTTTTATTTTCAGTAGTGAAAGCATGTGGAGTGGATGAGGGCATAGAATTTCTCCTATAGGGCGCAGATAGCAGTAGCGTGTTGTGATGATAGGTCTATGTGGTAAGGTGACAGTTTAGGTGACATCAGTGAGAGGTGGTTTTCGTATTTGTCTGAAATGCAATGATCTCTGCACTAAATATACTTTGTCATTTTGAGAGCACATTTCGTAGGTTTATGACAGTTATATGCCTGATAGTTTTTAAGGTGAACTGTTCTTATACCATAGTCAGGTAACTGATAAACTATTCAGATTTACAAATGAGTTCAAAAAGTTGAGAAGTAAATAGAAGCACTTGTGTAGTCATTTGAAAACATTATGTTAACAAAACGATAAGGGGGTGAACTAAAACTATAGTAATAATAACAAATACGGTAATAATTAAACGGTTATGAAGATGAATATGTCTTTGAATGAGAATAAAATAAATGTGCCTCGAAATGCAGAAGCTATCACTGTTAGTCAGAACTATGTAGTCAAAAGAAAACAGTTACCAATTAGGTATTTTACTGGTAACTAGTGACTTTTCTTTCTCATATGTCCCTTTAAATATTTCCAATGCATTTATTTTGTGCTTATTCATATTGATTAGCGTTTCATTATTACTGTTATTGTAATTATTACTAATTTTATCTCATCCATTTATCGTTTTATGAACGTAATACTCAGATTTAAGAAATATCGACATGAACTAAGTAATACGTAAATAATTTACACATTGGTTAACTACTTCAGAGAACTATTTATGAACCAGTGCAAAGGAGATAGTTTGCAAGTTATTTAACTAAGAAGAAAGTTAGAAAAAAAATCGGTTCAGTCCAATAAACCAAAAATTACATCAAGATATAGCCAACAGGAAAACTTCCTAGAACTATTGTGAATGTCACAATACATACATATTGCAGAAAAAAACGTTCAGCAGTACACCTGACTGTCACTAACTCACCTTTTTTGAATTCGACTTGTATGCAATTTTATAAGATTCACACTTAGTTTCTTTGGCTCTTTGTTTATGTACAGCATACAGTTGTGATATAACAGCGAAGTCTACTTCAAGGCGTCTTAGCTCAATTTCATATGTTGCACGTCTGATGTCTTCTTCATCTTCATCACATCCATCTAGTAGTTGTAATCTTTGTTGCTCATATTCTAGTTCCTCACTTTCAACGGTACCTTCATTCAGTGAACCTTTCTGTTTTATGCTTCCATCGGTACTCTCATCATTAACTTTATGCATGTTTTGATTGTTATTTGTATTATGATTATTAATATTTGTTGATAAATTACTGCATAAATCTGATAGTATGTCGTAGGCTTCAATTTTATTCACGGTACCCCTTAGGGATTTATAATCACCTTTCAAAGAAGGTGTCGGGGAATAATCAGTTGACAGGAATGAACTATAATCAGATATTGATGTGTTTACAGTCATATGATTCAAGTGATAATATTCTATCGGTGTTAATGAATGATCATTTCTCACTCTTTTATAATGACACTGTTTGTCCAATGGGAGATTTATAGTACTACAATCATATGTAGACGAATTGGAATTCGAGCATATATCATTGGAATCAATAATATTGTGTAACGGTTTGTTTGGAAATAGCTCTGTACTGATACTACGACCGAATACTTCAACTAAACGTCGAGTTGTTTTCTGATAACGTTTGGCAATCTCATCATCTGGAAGTGGAAATCCATCAAGTTCCGTTTCAATTCTACTGGACTCTGAGCGTATAGACAGTCTTTGTGTGGGCTTCATTGTTGCCTGTATAAATTAAAAAACAGTTGAAAAATAGTATTTCATTACCCTTATGGAAAGTGATTGTACAACAGACTTTCCCAGGGTAAAAATGATGCCTCGAAGGACTCAACTGACTATATTTACTGTGCAATATTACTATTCATATTGCATGCTTCTTAAAATGATATATATTTAACGTAGTAGAGTAATAAATTTATGTAAGCTCAAAGCTACTGAATCATTTGTATTATGATTAAAAGCCGATCACATCCTTTTTGCCATCTGTATTCCATTGCGGGATCGTGGATGCGTATTGGTACGGAGTTCTAAGTTTGGATGCAACGGCCGGCCATGTTTTAGCTGACTTAATCTCCGAATGAAAACTACTCTCAAGTTGGCAAGTCACTGCAAACCAACAACTGAATTTTTTTTTGTTCATTAATGACTCTGAGTTGAATTCCTAAAAGTTTCATTAAGAATCCTTGAATGATGGGGTCAACCAAGGTGGTAATGAGGATACCTACCAATAATATTAGATTATGACTGCACTAAATCGCAAATCTACTGAAGTATGAATTAGTGGACCAATGAATTCCAAACCAGCGGCTGAATAAAAATGCATTCGTCGGGAGGCTCGGTAGTAGTGCACTTGGTTCCTCCCAGGGTTATGGGTGAGCACAAATTCGGATAAAACAGCTCTCAAGTGATTTTTAGTTCCTTAAATGATATCAAAGTGTTATTCATCGTAAACTGACATCAGTTGGAGGAACAAAGGAAACCTGAGAGCACTGCACAGCTGTTTCGTCCTAGTATGGGACTCCTCAGCAGTGCGCACCCACGACCCCACCAGCAGGGATCGAACCCGCGACCTTCAGGTTCCGCGGCCAGCGCGTTACCATTGAGCCACTGGGTCAGAATCCAATGCTCCATATTTCCAACTTCTGTTAGCCCACGATATATAGCGCAACCGCCACCCAATGTCATCGCTGAGTATTTGTCCTCATGGCCATCAGGCTTTGACTCCACCGGTCACGACTTGTCATTGGAACTTCGGGAAATATGGAGCATTGGATTCTGACCCAGTGGCTCAATGGTAACGCGCTGGCCGCGGAACCTGAAGGTCGCGGGTTCGATCCCTGCTGGTGGGGTCGTGGGTGCGCACTGCTGAGGAGTCCCATACTAGGACGAAACAGCTGTCCAGTGCTCTCAGGTTTCCTTTGTTCCTCCAACTGATGTCAGTCTACGATGAATAACAACTTGAAATATTTCCAAATCTCCACAACTCCCTCAAAATTTAATATCAAAGTGTGATAAAAATTACCTTCAAGTAAACGGATTTTAGTCAAACTACCGAAAACCTGATTTTTTGTACTTGCCAAGTGCATGATTATGGACCCATGATTAATGAAACTGTATTTTCATATCTTAATCAATAAACCCTACTACTACCCAGTAAATCAGTACTACCACAGACACTCATCCATCTGCCTAAAGGGTGAAGATGTGTCGAATACAGCATCAACAGTAAATAACGTTAACGCATCGTATTAATAGCATAAGATAGTTTTTAAACTGTTACATAATATAAGAATGCGTAAAATGACAAACATTTTAATAACCTACCAAAGTGGAGTATTTCCTTTTGTTCTGTAGAAATGTATAGTATTCTTGTTTCATGCTTACAGAACTCGCCTTATGTACGAGTACGTGTGATAAAGGATAAGACGTATTCTTTAAAGGTTTATTACAGATACCAAGTTCAGTGCACAAAGATTCGTAACCAGGCGGTACTGTTCCGGTTATTGACTGAGAATAAATGGTAAAAAGCTTAATTAGTGGAAATTTGAAAGTTTACGCAAACAAACAATAAAAATATTTCAACACAGAGGTTTGTGGGGATCTGTTAACTGCAAGGTGGTATTCATCATGGACTGACAACAACTAAAAAATCGTTGTAAACCTGGGAACAGTGAACGGAAGTAGTAATAAGTCCCATACCGGGACGAAACAGCTGTCTAGTGCTCTCAATTTTTCAGCGACTTTTCAACTGATATCTGTCCGCAGTGAATTCCACCTTTAAGTTATAATATCGTAGATCGTAACAGATTCAGTATGATTTCAAAGTGCAGCTTAGTTATGCACGGTGGAGTCGTGAACCCTGAGAATAGTTCGTAAAGGATTACTTCGCATGATATAGAATTTAAAAATGTAATAAGGAATGAACTATTACGTTCCTGAACTTGATTGACAGGTTTCCTCAAATCATATTCATTGGTTTCTTGGCAAAAAGTCATTTGTGCTGAGTAATAACTGGAGGTGAAATGAGAATCTGAGTCACGGCAAGATTCGAACCAAAGACCACCGGGTTTCCTTTCAGGTGCTTTATTGGTTGAGCTACGAAACCTTGTATATCGGGTCAACAGTCACGTCTCATAGCTCCCAGCCGTATATGTGGTGATCACTGGTTCGAATCCTGTCTTGGTTTGGTTTTTCATTTCACTTTCAGTCGTCACTCAGTACCAACACAAGTCTACCAAGCCACGAATTTCTCAGACAGTCGGATTGATAAGGTTATTCAGCACAAATGACGTAAGTCCCCTCAGTAATTCGGCAAGCTTTTTTTCAAGTTACACTCAAAAAGACTGTTTACAAATCAGTCTACTAACTATTTGTTAAAAAAGCTATTTATGTCCTTATGTTCAGTTGTATATTTTCATACTAATTCCCCATCTGAATGTTGGTACAATGATACACGTAGGCTGACTGAACACAGAAGTGACCTAGAAATTTTATTTCTTCAGTTGAACTTTGTATCATTGATAATCTATGGTGAAAACTGATCAAACAATTGTCTGGCGCCTCTATTGCTGGTCTAAACTGTCTGAAAATGCAAGTCATTCAGCTGTTTGCTATATTGTGAAACTAGAAACATATATGTATGTATATATAATCACATAAGTGAACTAGTTCCACACTTGATTGCACAAAGTGAACACGTAAAATACTAGAACAAAGCATTCAACAAATGTCTGACAAAGTAATTTTAGTGCTTGCTAACACTGTGATAATAATATCGTGTGAGAAAAAGGATAAAATCTTTCTGAAGTGACTATTTCCAAGTGTATACTAGGGAAACAGATATTTTAGAACTGAGTCTTAACCCAATTACGATTAAGACCACGGGCGAAAATGGGGTTAAAACTTACAGTGACCTACAAAATATCGTCAGGTTACCCATAACCACTTTGAAATACATGCTAGGAAAGTTCACCTTAATATATGAAGCAGAACATAAATCGTAAGTTCAACAAGCACTTCATATGTCTTAGCGTACACAATACAACAGTAATGGATACATCAACTACACCAATGTATTAATACTTACCCATTCCTCGTGTAATAACTTCAACAGTTCTCCATTGAGTTGCTTCAAATGCTTCGTAGTCTCCGTCTGTCGTTGAATTAATGTCTGGAACTTTTTTACATTGTCTGTAGAACAGTTAGATAGAGTTGACAATTCATTCCCATCATGAATTATTGGCTTGACTTGCGATTCCATCAGACAATCTAATAATTGATGAACAAACAAGTGAATCGACTGCATAAAAAATAATAGTGACATTTTCCACATTTTTCTTTACATAACTCAACTAATGAAATGTTTCTAATGGATCAAATAAAAAGAAATCTGATAGTTTGTCTAGATCAAAGTGCAGTGATAACCCACGTGTCCAAAAAACAAGTTAATCAAGAGATGTGAAACAAAAGAATATTTGACCTCATATTTAAGAAAATGTTCAAGAATAAATAAAACCATGTCAGTAGGTGATGAAAAACAAACATGAGAAAATGAAGAGGAAGAATAAAACGGTAAGATATTTAGGTGACACGATCAACCATCATCTGGGTATAATAATTTCAAGGGAGAAATATTCCAGATAGTAGACAAAATGTTTTTCATCATCAAGTTTTTGTACATTTTTAAAACTATACTATAGTGACACTGATTAAAAAGGAAGATAAATTGGTAAAAAATTATTTGTTTTTTCAGGATGGAATTGGGTGAAATTTATAGATTACAACATAGGATTATACATGATGGAAATCTCTCTCTCTCTCTACTTAGTCATAATATAAAAATAAAGTCAGTTTGGCCAATAAAAGTCAAATTATCCTATTCAGCTCCCAGTCTAAAGCCAAATGTGATATCGTTAAACATACTTATCAATGTCACCACAACTATTAAAAGAAACCAGTATATTTCAAATATAAAATTCACATACGAAACCAGCTGGATTCTTGAAATGGTTGATTTTTCAATGACTACCTTTATCAATACCAGGAAATGTTCCCTCGATAAATATTTAATAATTATTCCGGTGTGAGTAACACTTCAAGTTTCGTCAAATTCGCGACCTTTTCTGTTTAAACGACTTTTTCGTGGAACTGTGACTGAAATTATCTGCAGGTCAGCAAAATTGGTGAAAAGTTTTAGTCTTTTCCCTTGGCTGCCACGAGTTTGGCGCAATTGCTTTCAGATGATCAATCGACACAGTTTACATACATAGAAGACCAGAGATTTTTAAGGGATCAAAAGGTATGCTTCAGAATTTGAGTAGATCCCCTTAGAACTTGTTTAGTTTTTGGTAGAAATTAGGATGACACTGCAACTACTGAGACTGAAACAGTTGAAATTTAGCACCGGACTTGGCTCACTCAGCTTCATTAATATTTAGACTGCAAGAAAAGCTCACCTTATTCGCACAACAAATAAAGGTACCATAAATTCTACCTTAGCACAAAAACACAAATCACAATGCCCAACGAACTAGTAAGATTCTTCAGAGTGTTTTTCTTTTATTAATTAGGAAACTTCAACATTAAGCCAAAATTTAATCGATAGGAAAAGGTTTGGGCGAATTAAATATATCTTGCTCATTTATTACGCAGTCAGTGAAAGCCGATCTCCAATTTTTATCTCTCTCTGGTGATGTAACTATTAAGTCATTTAAGGACAAATAGACAGGATGGTATAATCAATCAAGTGTTAAAACGTTTTCTAATGAATCATCTCAATATACCAATGTACAAGTTAGTTGACCTTGACACAAAATGAAATGCTCAAAAAATGAAAGGTCATCTTGTCATTAATATTGATTGATAACACTTACCGTTTAACGGTGTAGTTGAACACATTGTAGCGGTTAATGTTTGGTTTGTACAGTTGGGTTTTGGAAATGTTTCCAACACTCTGCAGTTATCCTCCATAACTTTAGATGTTTCGAGAGAATCAGATGAGTCCACAGTGGTCGATTTGTGAAGAGGATGTCGAACAGTTGGTGTACCATTAGTTGAACTGATTGGAGGAGTAATAGTCTGTTTAATAATGTCAGAAGGAGGGAAACTCATAAAAACGATCTTTGTACTATTATGGTTCTGATTCGTAGCCTGGAATTATAAAAACAGGATTTGTATACACCGTTAGTATAGGGACAGGTGCGATAGAAAGGCTTGTCCATAAAATAAACAACTAGGATATTATTTACCGAGAGGCCTATGACTCAAATAATCGAAACCTGTAAAACTATATGAAAGTAGTTATTTGTGAAAATGATTTTGAGCAAAATCAAAGACAGACACCTTAGAAACATTAAACAAAACACTCAATGAATTAAAGGAGGAGAATTAAGGTTCTTAGAAGTATTGAAAAGATAACGATAATCTATATTGAACACAGGGTGTCAGCTGCAAAAATTAAGCCCAGAACAATATAAGATCCATATTTCCATGCACTTAAAGCGTCTGCATGATATTGCAGTCAGCCTACTGAATTTGTTGCTGTTCCCCCTACTTTCATCTTTAAGCCTGCCTGCAGACAAAAAGACACTATGAGGCATTCCATCAATTTCTTATGATTTTCGCCTTACTGAAAGACGTTATTTACTCACAGCAATCATTAGTGCAGCTTTGAATAACTGTGTTACATTGTTATATCAGTCAAATTTAAGAGCCTGAAGATGCAGGTGTATCCCAATGAACTTGGTGAAGAATATTTATAAAAACCAGTTGAAAACAAAGACTGACTTATTGGTCGGTGTTATTTGCATTATCTTAGGATATCACGAACTTTTATCCTTTATGTTCATTCAGTCGTTATTAGAAATAGACTGGTGGGGGAAAGTCGAACGGTTTCATTTCACTATACAAGTGCATATTATATATGCAAACAGACGTTTATCATACAAAGCAATAATATACATATATATACGAATAAAATTGTACTTTATCAACAAACCACTTTATATATGGATAGATAGAGATAAATAATCAGAAATTCGCTTTATGATCTGATTGTATGAGACAGGTACATCATACAGTAGTTATGTGCATAATAATAAATTCATATTGAACGCATGTTTCTTCTGTTCTCCGAGCAATCATATAAGTTAGTATAGGACTAAAGATACAGATCAGATTATAAATCTTTATATAACAAGTGTGTTTTTATTGTACTTAATGTGTATTATCCAGACGCCATACTATCGGTAGACAAGAAATAAATACTGAGAATGCAGAAAAGCCAGATAAATTAAAATGTCACTAGGTCAATGGACGAAATGAAATAAGGCTTGGTTAACAGAGCGTTTCTCGTCTACACTTTAAAAGCCTTGTCTATTCACCTATCTACTTCAGTTAACTCAGTAGGATTGAGAATCAACTGTCTCTAATAACAGTTACCTATTGAAGCAAGTTCTACTGATCACTGCAATGAGGTTACAAATTAGTGTAAATGAGTATGAAACGATAAATATCTACGTGTATTCATTCAGGTGGGATATATTTTGGAGAATGATATTTGCATGTGGAACTGATGCGTTTCATCAAGGAAAAACCACATTGTCTAACAGATGAAGAAAAAGATTAATGAACTTTCTGCTTTATCTTTATATTGGGATGAATAAACTTTGATATAAGCTGAAGGTATGCATTAATTCATCTTATAACAAGGCTGACATTCGACATTTTAAGTATTTGCATAAGGAACTTCAAAACAAAACTGCATAAATTAGGACTTCTATATTAAATAAATACTGATAAAGTCGCCTAGCTTAGTGATGAAAAGTCCAAAAAACAAACTTTAGAGTTCAGGGAGCATCAAACGGTTCAGATATTTCAATCTATGATCGACGTAGGTGTATCACATATAGGTCACTATCATGATAATAATAATGATGACAAATATGACTACTTAAATGGGAAATCGACAAGGTCTTATACAATAATTTCTTTCATTCATGACAGCTTCCAACTATTTCCAATACTGATTAGAAGAATTAGTAACCCTTTATTATTCAGCCATATACATATACATTGCCATGTACAACAAGAAGTACATAATATAGAAACGACATTAGTTTTTTTCCATCTGAACAGTTAGAATAGCATAGTTGCCTAGAGTTCTGATCATGTTAACTTAGTCAGCATGAGGGGAACAATATCTAAATAATCTATCACTACTAAATCTTTGCTTCATGCAACTGAATAAAAGACATTCGATTGAACAGCCGAATATGATGTAATTGTTAAGGGGTAAGAAAGATTAAACATATCCACCTCTTTCAATAGGCTATATAGCAGTTGACACATTTGTTACTATGATACAGCTGTAACCTAAAAATTTAATTATAAGGTCAACTGGTACATAGTGAAAATAGAGACATTTTCATTAACCTATAATTCCAATTAGTATGTGTGAATCATTGAAGAAGTATTAAAGACGGTTAATCAGCTGTTAAAATGATTGGGCTGAAAGAAAAGTAACAACAAATCAGACTATCTGCACAACCATTCTAATCTATATTATGCTTATAAAACCAGGATTCCATTAATGTAGAAAATAACTTAATTGAAATGAAACTAGGAGTCTTTTGCTTTGAAGTATTCATGCGTAAAGCTTCAGTGTAAGTCTACGGACCATATTAGACATATCTTCGATAAAAAAATGAAACAAAAGATATCTGCGGCACAATAAGCGAATTGAATCTTCCATATGATTTAGTGGTAGTGGCATTTAATGGTTGCCCTTGATTTCAAACCCTGCCAAATCCTACTTCGAACTGTGCAACTGCAGTTACCATTAGCTCCGTAACATTTACCAACTTATTGGATTTTACGCAGAGAACCTTTATCGGGCTGAGCATTCAGATAATTCATGCAACGTAGGCAGATCTTTATTTCATTCGTTCACAGCTCAACATACTTCAAGTCATAATTTTCTACGATTTTCTTAAGTCATTATAGTCATCTTAACTAAATGTGCCATCCCATAGAAAAAACTGTTGGACGCAAGTACAAGTCAAATTAAACTGGATTTTTAAAGACACTTGTGAAAGAACCTTCAGTAATACATAACAATTCAAAAAGTATTTACCTGATGATTATTCCCATCTGAATTCGTGCACGTGTTTTCAGTACTTTGTGTGGTATTGCTTGCCATTTTTCGTTAGTAATAACAAAAGTAACTGTTGCAATAATCCCAGTATTTGTAAATCCAGTAGGATGCATAAAAATTTCTGAGTCCACTTACTGCAGCCACACATTAAGTGTTAGAGCTAAGTGGATCGTAAAACGCTGTTCTGAACCCGTTTGTCACGCGACTAACTGACAGATAGAAGTAAGTAGTAACGATATATCCAATAAAAAATACTGAGTTCTCGAGAGAGCTAGACCAATCCAGTTTTTAACTCAACTGACCAATCAAAATAATATAAGCCAAAATTTAGTTTTCAATGCTGATTGGTGTATAAGCTGTTCCGTGATTGGTTCACAAAACTGGTGTATGTTCTCAGTGTTCATGTAATCCCTTGGTATTAACGACACGATACACCTCTCTGTTCCCAAGCGGAAGTGAATACTGCTGTAACTCGTTGCAGAGAAAATGAAAACATCTCAAACATATTCCTCACTCTTTCTGATTACCTATTGTCATCCAGGAAGAAGAAATGTCAGTGATCCAATTAAATGCATCTCTTTTTAAGATTAAGAAATTCCTTCTGGTATTCCTAAGTTCATTCACCAGACTTGTGGGCTATGATCACTGATTTATTTCCGGTTACTAAATGAAAAATGAAAAAAAAATTTTACGGGGCGCCACATATATGCACGGAAATGAATTATCTAATTGATGATCAGGAGACTTAAGCAATACTGTGACAAGGGAGGTCGACTGGAATTTATACCTAAGGATATTTCTAAAAACAGCCTATCACCCACTACTAATTTCTACTATAAGCTGAATGACTAAACAGAGAAAAGTAGTATATTGAAATTGTTGGGATTGTGTTTCCTATTTCAAGTATATCAAGTCACCTTGTCTTAGCAATTATTAAATGAGAGGTTACAAGGTTTAATGTAGGGGTGTAGAACGTTATAACATCAGAAGTGATGATTAGTGGGTTAGCGTCCCATTTAGAAAACCGGCACAAGTCCATGCAGCTGATAAATCCCCATGGGGACGAAACGTGTTCTCTAACATCCGCTGCTAAATACCACTCAGCACTATTGATAACAGTTGCTATACGCATATAAACTAACCATTACACTTATTAAGGTAGTACTCATCTTGAACTGACATCAGTTGGAGAACCACTAGGAACCTGGGGGCATTGTATAGCTATTTCGCCCTACCACATGCTCTTCAGCAGTACGCACCCAAGACACAGACAGGGATCGAACCCAGGACCTTCAGGTTTCACGGCAAACACATTAAGCATTCAGCTACTGCATTAGAGTTCGGTGGCCCACAGTTTCCTATCTTTGTCAGTTTGCGATATAGCGTGACTATCCACCGAGGTCTTCAGTTGGCGTCCGTTCCACTTCCGACTGATTAACCACACAGGTCACGACTTCTCATTAGAACTTTGTGATATCCATCTGGGAGCACATCACTAACAAGTACCGTACAGTAATTCATTCTGAAGTTAACTGGGACCTTATTTTTAAGACAAGAGTCAACCAATCAGATATGAAGTGGATACCTACCTTGATGGATAGTCATGCTATATCGCCATTTGACAGAAGTGGGAGATGTGGACCACTGAAGACAGACGCAGTGGCTAGATGGCTAAAGCGTTTGGCGTGAAACCTTATGGTCCTGAGTTCGATCCCTAACGGTGTCGTGGGTGCGTACTCCTGAGGAGTCCCATAACGGTACATGCCAGCTCTGCAGTGCTTTCAGGCTTTCAATGGTTCTCCAAAAGATGTCAGTCCATGATGAATACCACCTTAAGAATGAAATTCCATCAACCTACAAGTATGTTAAGTTTGTATCTCTGAACTGGTATCATTCATCTAGATTAGTAGTTGGTTGAGCTAACTAAACAATGTTACATATGCACACTATTCTGCCAAATATATTTCTACACTTTATTCATGTTTTAAGAACACTTAAAAGATTTTAACCGTCTGATGTTTTACAAAACGATATTTTTACAAAAATGTTGAAATACAAGATGAATTTCCTGAAATCCTTATCGTTTAAAGATACACCCAGTTTATTGTAAGTGCAAGGTTGGAATAGCTTTGAAAGTGGGAAAAATTACAGTTATTGATCATGATATTACCGTTCATACAAGACTGTTCTGAAGGCAATTCCCAAACTGCATGGTATTATTGACGAACTGTTATGGAAAATCTCATCATTATTAACGCAAAATTCAACATTACAGGCATATAACTGTAGAGCCTGTGGGCTAGTGAAGAGAATATTCTTTGTCTCTTTAAACTTCTTTTGAATAAAAATCACGAAGTTACAACAAGAGAAGGTTATATCGTACCAGGAAGTATTTGAAGTTGGCTGAGTAGACCAGTGGTGATATATTTCTTATCAAATATGAATATAGTTGGAACAGACAATGGATTAAATTAGAAAGAGTGGGGAAAGTAATGTGCATCTGAAAATCAATAAAGATGTGTTATGATAAGACAGTTGGTATTCATCGCAAACTGGTATAATTTTAAAAAAAAGTCAAAGCCTGAGAGCATTGCACAGCTGTTTAATCCTATTTTAGGACTTCTCGGTAGTGCGCAAGCGTGACCCAACAAGGATTGGACCCAGCACCTACACATTTCACGGCCAGCACGTTACCAATGATCCACTGGGTAGGTATCAAATGGTCAACATTTCCTACTCCTATTAGTTCACAACATATCAAGACCTCCATCCAATGCTGTCGTAGCGTAACCGTCCTTATATTCAACTTGGTTGGCTTCACCAGTCACTACTATTCATAGGACTTCTGGAATTTCATCTCAAAGCAAGTCACCAATAAGAACTGGAGAGTGATTTAATTCGTCGTCTTATGAGAATTTATTTATTGATGGAGGTTGTGTTATATTATGAACTAACAGAAGTAGGAAACGTGGCTTCCAACCCAGCAGCCTGCCGGTAACGTGCTGGCCGCGAAACCTGGAGATCATGGTTTCAATCCTTGTTGGGTCATGGGTGAGCGCTGCTGAGAAGTCCTAAAGTAGGATGAAAAAGCTATCCATTGCTCCCAGTTTTTCAGTGCTCCCTCAACTGGTGTCAGTCCATGATGAATACTGACCTGAAGGGAATAAATAAATTCTCCACAAACCTCTAAATTTATCGTTGATTAATTGAAAAGTTAGCCTCCAAAGTAACACAGGTTCTACTTTATTGTTTCTAAAATAAAAATTAACACAGCTGTGAGTTTTGTAAAAACACGAAACGCTGACTGTGAATGGCAAGAATAAGAGAGCGACTAGGAGTGCTCCTGCAGACTTCTACTTAGGTCAATGAGTAGTGAGAATACTTATGAGAACTTTGAACTCAATGATGAGTGCAGCATATTTTCATGTGGAGGGAAAAGCTATTTATTTTGTTGCTGAACATAAGTAAAAAATATAACGATAAAAATACTGAGTTATTAATAGTAGTGTATTGTAGAAATACAATTTTCTACAGACAAACTATGATTAAATTCAGCGAGAAACACTTTGAGCGGGTTACATACATTTTTCTATCTATCCATTGTTTCCGAGCTTAAATTTTAGTCCAACTAACGTTTGCTTACAATTGCAGTCATCACCGTTTTGTATGTAAGACATGGTTTGTTAAATATGACTACCTGTGATTAACAGATTGTCGAAATAATACCTGTTCAATCAAGGGACCGGGGTAGATAAGGGGAAAACCTTAGTTTATCATAGAAACTGATCTTTTTTCCTCTTAGTTGACACTATTTTTCGATTTCTGTCCGAATGATAGTGCTGACTACCAATTATCTTTGATAAGAACGGTATTTTCTTGACAATAACCATTTGCAAGCGAGAGCACCTTGAATATCTTGTAGGTTAACGAGGAGACTAATAGCACCGTTAGAAAATATAAGCAGAATTCTTTCTACTTTGTGGAAAGCATGATAAAAAGTATGTATAGAGTGACTTAAAACGCTATTCAACTGGAAATGCATTGCACCACCACACGGTTATGTTATGTCATGTTGGTTTTCAGAAATAAACGACTCATTCCTGTATCAAATCTGTTTAGTTTGTAGGAATATCAAATGTAACGTAAATCTATGCCGGTTACATCTGACACTTAGAAGTGAAACAATACTAAACCACAGATTTGAAGGATAAGTGACTGAAAACGATAACCAACCTAATGGACTTTGGCGACAAGATCTACAGATAGGCTAAATCACCATAAACTTGGTGAATTTATTCGCACTTCAACAAAATGACTGATTAAGGCATTCATGTGAAGCGAGCCATTCAAGGTTATCCTAATCACCAATGGATATTGTCATTTTAGATAGCCTCGATTTTTATTGTCTAGAAATGTTAACTAAGGTTAGTAAACATTCTGATGTCAATCCTGTAGTCACCACAGACTTCCTACAGCATTCGGTCATCGTTCGTGCAAGAATTATGGATTGTTCAAACTTGATTCGATTAATTCCACTTGTACAATTCCAGGATATACAATCAGCATCGACAAAAAGCCAAGACTATCATAAATAATCTAGTTAATGAATACAGAACTGGCAAAAAAATGATTATGCGGCTTCCTTATTACACTTTAAAGGCACTGATTATAAACACAGAATATGAGATTCGACAAGAATGTGATAAATATTTATGAATTATTAGCACGTTTGTATTTTGTTGGAATGGAACGTATTGCATCCCTAGATTCAGACAGCCATGAATGGTTGGGATACTTATAGGTTTATAAATCAGACTGGTCACATAAACACCTTTCATATTTAGCTACTTTCATTTATTGTGCCAACTAGTATCGACAAAACCGAATAGTGGTCATAACAGTTTATATATATATATATATATATATATATATATATATATATATATATATATATATATATATGGAACAGTAAATTGGTACCATTCAGCAACCAGATACAGTATGCTAGGCTTCCCACAGTTTGTAGATTAAAACGAAGTTGAAATGGGCTACAGTCCCATTGGTACTATTGGTAAAAGATGATACATCGAAATAGTAGGTTGTGATCTCAAGTTTGATCAAATTAGGTTAGATAATGAGCATTCGCCTTTGAAATGGAATTAAATGGTGATCCATGTTGGCGGTAGCTTATTTGATAATTCCAGCTAACTG